GGATACTATCATTTCCACCCAATATGCTTACTGGAAGCTTGGCTTGAGCTCTTCCAATTCCTTCGTCCATAGGGCAATTTTCTCATCTGTGTGGGACCGTTCTTCTTCCTTCTGCTTTAATCCCGCCTCAATGCGCTCGAGATCAGCCTGAAACGATTGAGTCCACGCATATGAGAAGATATGCTCTGGCGGCCGACCTCTCGTTGTTGACGAATCTTCGCACCTTCCGCTGAACAGAAGTTCTCGCAGCCACCAAGTTGCCACTCGTCGGAACCGTCGCAACAGTCGCAGACTCCATCACCAACGTGGGAAGCCCAGACCAATTTCGGTAAGGAGCCTTTGTTCTCACAATAGAACCTGCTCGGGTGAATAGTAATAACGAAGCTCAGACGCTTACGCTGCTCCTGGGAAGTGCGAGCATGCAGCTGTACCGGGCTCATCTGCACCGTTGCTACCTGTGATTGACATTAGGGGAAAAGAAAGGCGAATTAATCGATAACTTACAATCACAGAAATCATCATTGAGATTCTCGTAAGGGACGAGTTCAGTGCCACTTCGCGCCAATGGGTCGCACTGGAAGAACTGATGGCCACCGAATTGAGGCGGAGCTACGGGCTCGTAGTACCTACAAAGAGGGATTCCAACATGACAGGAAATGTCGGAGGAGTGGTATCACTGGCGTAGCTTAGGATTGACGCCCATAAGCTTATGCTTGCCCTCGATCGTATCCAATCCACTACTGTAGATGCCGAAGCTGGACAAAAGAGTGGTGGAGAGAAGTCTAGTCATTTCATAAAACCTGTAGAATCCGCTTGAAATTGGACAGAGAACTCAAACTTTAATTTCTTATCAAGATTCGAATCTTAGGCAAAAAAAGCGCGCGCCCAGCCACGTTTCTTTTTACATGCGTGTGGCTAATAAATTGAAGGAAGAGTGTAACCCTAGACCTCCTTGTTAGCAGGTGACGTGAAGCCGGCGGTGTCTTTGAGTAGATGAACGTCGCTATGTACGATGTATTACTCATTATAAAGGAAAGTTTCAATCGGCTAATAAATTGTGACGTAGCATCTCCCTCAACACTACGTTACTCGGCTTCAA